ACACACGCACACACGCACACACGTCCGCTGATTCCCATTAGCAAACCTTCTACCACCACCACAAGAGATGTCTTCAAGTGTCTCCTGTTCTAACCTATCTGAAAAGCTGTAGAAAGGATTCAGGCTAATTCCATCCATTAATTTGCTGTGCTATATAAAGCCTAACTTTACACATTAGCCTCGAATGCCTCTTATCAACTGAGTGAACACCCTCAGCTTCCCTGCCCCTACCCATTATGGGATGGGGGCCAAAAAGCTGCCTGCAACCTTGAAGGGAGGCGGATTCTCATCAGTGCATTTAAAGCAGGGAAAGATAGAGAGGATAATTTAACGTTAATTAGCATCTTGTCTACAGGGGGTAAGAAGAGGAAGGGGGAAAAAAAAGGCGGACACTGGGGTGATGGGGAGAGCGAAAGAGACGCCTGAGGACACTGGTGATAGTTCTCCTTTCTCTTGTCTTTCAATATATTAGCTCTTGTTCTCTCTCAGCCCCTGACTTGCTTCTTGCCTTGAGTGCTTTCACAAATTAATGACACTGTAACCAGAACATTACTCGGGTAATGAAAGACATGGCACAATCGGGTAGTGCGTAGGCACAATAGGCTAATAAAAAGGGATAACACAAAAATATAAAGGGATATCAAAATTAATAATGACATAATCTCAAACAGTTAAAAGCCAACGACAAGGTCTGTGGTTATTGGCGATAATATGACAAAAAATATCTCACAAAAGACAGTCCCCAGCACTTTGTAGATTAGTTAAGGATAACATTTTTCCAATAAAAAATAATTAGGGACAGACTTTTGTAGTTCAGGTGGATGTCAGCTAGTGATGTTCACATCAATGCACCATTATTGGTACCTGTTATTTCTGCAGATAGACACAAGAGCTTAAGAGCAAAAACAAGAAAGAAGAAACGGAGAAAGAAAAAAGCAATTGTCTGCCGCTGCTGCTTTTGTAAAGGTTAATGATGAACATCAAAAACCACAAACGAGACAAAAAAAATAAACAAGTGGTTAACCAGTGCTGCAGAATAAAGTCACTAGGGTGTAGTGCAAAACCTGTGACTGTGTGGCAGCATGTGTGTGTGTGTGTAGAAAATTACAGTGGTTGGCTTGCTGTGACTTGTGAGGCAATAATTGAGTCCAGAAGTGCCCAAGGAATGGACTGTAACAACGCCACGCATACACACAGCCTCATTATCCTGAACCACATTCATCTCTCATATATGGCCACCCATGTTTCTTTTCGCTACTCCTGTGTCTGTCACTCTCTCTCCTACTTTGGCTCTTATACCTTTTTACACCAAAGATCAATTTATAACCTGAGTTTCTGTTAATGGTTGAGAACTCTTTTAAATCTGACGTCATAAACTGTGATATCAAACCATTTACAAAACATTCTGTTGAAACATGGGTCAGGTGTTATGTTAAATTTATCTGACAATATACAATACATAAAAAAACTTAACAAGTAAAACACCTTTATATTTATTATGTTTATATATGGTGCGTTTAGTGTTGTTGTCACCTATATGGTCAGCTAGTTAATAAACTTGTCCATTCTTTTTCAGCAATTGTCCTACTGTACATATAATGTGCTCGTCAGACCCTGATATCAAGATCAGTCGTCTTGTTGGCCACAGCACAGTCCTACTGATAGCTTGATGCAGGGTTTTCAATTGCTCCCTCCATTTACCCTTTCTTCAGCTTTCTCAATTTTATTCTCCTCACTAGTGTAAATTTTGTCAACAAAAACTAAATATCAACAACCTTTGTTTCCATGAGTAAAATAAGACAATGATAAGACTGCACTGGCGTCACTAAACACTAACAGTGACTACATCTATATTTAATTAGTTGGCGAGAAAAGCCAAGACTAAAATGTAGTTTAAAGAATATAAAATTACCCAAATGTCTCTTTATCTATGTAGCAGTTCGCTTTCCTGTGCTGCGCGCCATATTAGGACTATACCGGCACCACACAATGAGCACAGTCAAGGCTTGTAAGAAAAACAGAGAGGAAAGTGGCCTACCTGGTCAGTGTTAAAAATATATGTCTGTTTCTTTGATCCAGCTATCGGTTTTACTTTACTGCAAATTAAGTTAGCATAGTCTTAATCGATGCAAACGCTGTTCAGGAAACAAGCCTTTTAAACGTTTTTAAGTCTTGCACACAGACCTGACAAAGTATGAATTCAGACTTTTACAAATTGTATTCATGATGTAGTTATTTTGGCATCACTATGATCTGTTTAATGACATCACCGCAAAATCTGTTTATTTTAGGCTCATACCAGAGTTTTAAGCTAGATTAAAGGGTGAACATTCGCTCTACTCCTGTACTCACTTACCCGTGCCAACACAAGTAAATACTAATGATCACGAGAGTAAACGATTGTGAGTAACGCATGGTGAATATTCGCTTTACTTTTGGTGGGAATGCACTTTAAGACTGAATAAAAAAAATTAACTGTACACTTTTTTCCCCTTTTCCATCTACTGTATATAGCTCCTGTATCAACTACTTTTACCGCCTTTTTAGTGGCCTGTAACATTGTAACAGCTAATAAACTTTTACAACATGACAAATATAGCATTGACAATTGTGACTTAATGACATCACCCCATATTAACTGGATATTGCTTTGCTGACAGCAAGTGAAAGCTTTCCTTGCCGAGAGAAAAAGGCTATGCAGCACATCAGTAACCTCATTTAGGTTGGTCAGGTTATCATCTCAAACATTATATAACATATTTGCTGTTACTGAAGTATGCTGCTATTGTTACTTTTACTTTTTACTACTAAATATAGTTTGAGTCAGTAATGCTAAATAAGGTCAGTAAGTTTAACTTTTATGTATAACTTAATCATTGACTTACTGAATGAGGAATTTGTGTCATTATTATGTTATTTTCAACGTAATTGCACTTTTTAATTGCACTTTTCAATTGCACCAGAGATTTGGCTAAAGTATATCATATAGGCAGAAAATGTGTGTATCTGCACTGCCTCTAAATTGTGCACATATTAGACACTTACATCTTCCCATAGAACAGTTCACTGGATTAATGCATTAAACATTTCTCTCTTCATTAGCCTGGAAGCTATAAATGATTCTCTCAAATGCTTGAGGCAAGTCTGAGAAATAACATCGAGAAACAAGATGTGTTTTCTCAAATTAACAAAAACTCTGTGAGTCAAAGTCAGTAGCATCTGTTAATACATCGGGCAGTGTCTGTGCCTAAAAAAACAACTCAACATGTTTTTGTTCATAACTATGACCTTTCTCCAAGCTTCACCATACCATAGTTACGTTGTTTTGCAGAATCAACATTCTTGTCTGGCAACAGGGTTTTTCTAATCTAGTGTTTCTAAAACATTTTACCCCACCACCTCAGAAAATATTAGCCTCTTCAAGTCCCACCATTATGACTGATGTTAAAATACCGTAAAAGTAAAATACAGTAGCAAAGGCTGACCCTAATCAGCTAGGACAGTTCACGCAGGAGGAAAATTCCTAATAATGAGATTATTCATTGTTGACTGTTATCAACTACACAATACAAAGGGGTAGCACCAAGTATGAACCTATCATATCGTCACCCATTGGTTTGCAGTGTATTGTTTTGAAGCCGTTTTGGCCGTCGCCATCACAGTTAGACATACCAAGTAAAGGTGATGTACTGCGAGTTGAGCAGCTCTCATTGGCTGCGCAGTTTCGATTGATCCGTAGCTGGAAACAATGGCGACTCGCCTGGTTACACACAATCTCCTATTACAGCTAAACAGTACACTTAAATATGTTTCTGAAACCATTTTAAGTGAGAAATAGGCAACGCAGTAACATAATCTTGCTTTGTATTTGATCAGCGCTGCCTAGTTTAACAGTGTGATCTGCACTGGGCGGATTCACTGAGTGTCAATCATAACGTAGCCACGCCCAAAAACATATGTGGCTTTATCATCTATTTTACTCTAAATTGGACCATAATTTACTAAATGAACATCATAATGTATGGAAGAAGACGTG